AAATCATACAAAAGTGTACTGGATATACAGCATTAGGACTTTTTAAGAATTAATTCAGAGAAAAACAAAGTTTTGAAATGGACTGGCTCTTAACTAAAATGTAAATCATACAAAAGTGTACTGGATATACAGCATTAGGACTTTTTAAGAATTAATTCAGAGAAAAACAAAGTTTTGAAATGGACTGGCTCTTAACTAAAATGTAAATCATACAAAAGTGTACTGGATATACAGCATTAGGACTTTTTAAGAATTAATTCAGAGAAAAACAAAGTTTTGAAATGGACTGGCTCTTAACTAAAATGTAAATCATACAAAAGTGTACTGGATATACAGCTTTAGGACTTTTTCCAGCACCTTCAATATCATGCCTTGAACTTCTTTCTCTTTTTTTATGTTGTTATATAAATATATATATAGCATTTCTATACATTTCTTTGGTTGACCTTGAAAGTGTGTTGTTTGTTCCATACGTTTAGGTTGTTTTGATGTCGTATTATTTCATAGGTTTTGATTATTTTGGTGTCGTATTGTCTGTTTCATATTTTTAAATTCTTTTGATATCATATTGTCTGTTTCATACGTTTATACTATTTTAATGTCGTGTTGTCTATTTCATACTTTTAAATTATTTTGACACAGTCGTATCAAAAATATATGTCATAATATGTTTCAAGTTTTGACATATGTTTCATACTCAACTGTTCTTTATTGTTTGAGTGACACGGCCATATCGGGGATGATTAGATTTGGTGGACTGGATACTTCCAATACTGGTTCCAGTAATCTCTTATTTTGAAAGTCCATAACCTACTTTCTTAGAGGCATACTGATTCCAGCTGGAGCGTGTGTCGTATTCTGACCTTTATAAATACTGTGGTTGAGTCCAGTTGGCTGTCTGTGTCAGGTCCTGATCTTTATAAGCTCTATGGTTACATATTGATTCCAGCTGACTGGCTGTGTCAGAATATGGTCTTTATGAAATATATGGTTACATAATAAGTCCAGTTGGTTGGCTATGTCAGATTCTGATCTTTATAAGCTCTATGGTTACATGTTGAGTTCAGCTGGCTGACTATAATAGATCCAATCTTTATAAGCTCTTTGGTTACATATTGACTCGAGTTGGCTGACTGTTTGGTAATCTGATCTTTATAAATTCTGTGGTTACATATTGATTCCATTTGGCTGGTTGTATCAGATCCTGATCTTTATATATTCTATGGTTACATATTGATTCCATTTGGCTGGTTGTATCAGATCCTGAGCTTTATAAACTCTATGGTTACATATTGATTCCAGCTAGCTGGTTGTGTCAGAATATGGTCTTTATGAATTATATTCAGCAGTGCGCTATTTTAGTGTAGATAAGCTCATCCTTAGCAGGGGTGAGGTGTCCCAATTCTTTTGATGGTATAATTTACCTCAGTATAATATGAATTAGGAAAAAAAATCGTTGTTTTCATCAACTGTAACTAATACGTCGATTTAACTTTTCAAATATTAAAAATTTCTATAAAGTCATCATACGTAATTGTTACTGAAAATTAAAGTAATATTTTGTAAACAAAGACTTTTCTGTTTGGACCTGAAAATGTGCAGCTCTTTTATTACCAGGTTCATTTATATCAAATGGATGGCATTTCACCAGAATTTCTTACCATGAAAATATTGACAATTTTATTTCAAATATTTATCAAGTGTGAGCATAATGTAGTTGATTGATATTTCGTAAACTTCTCATAACTTTCTGATATTATAAAAAAAACTCTTGTATGTTAAAAAAGGAACATTAAAAACGTATAATAAAATTTATAATAATCAAATTATTTGTTATTTACAGATGCGGATAGAATTAATATACGTTCAATGCAAGCGACTATAAATTAGATTGTTAATGAATAAGTTCAACAATTATTGGAAAATACTTTTGGCTGATTAGATTATATTTTCTCAAATTTAAAATTAAACTATTAATAAAGATCAAGTTGTTTTTTTACAATTTACACAAAATTTCTATTCAATTTGCACAAAATTCACGCAGGGTGCAAGAAGATCTAAATGGAGAATACACTGAATTATTGACCCCTGTGTGCGAGGCTACTCAAGCTCTAATCACATTTTTGCTCGCAGGGAGGGCTACTCCTTACCTACATAATGGTGTGATGCATACATTAGATGAGGACAACGTGGCCGGTGTAAGTAAGATAGTTTGGAAACTAGCATGTAAGACCGCCTAAAAAATGAAAAAAAATGTTTTTTTTTGTTCAAGTAAGTTTCATATGTAACGCTTGTTTAATATGTATAGGAAAAAAATATGGAAACGGTGAGAAAAAAAGTATATAAAAGGCAAATACTGGGGAATATCACCCTCATTATCGTGTGAAAATGAACTGTACCAATCACGTGCTGAAAGTTTTCACTGTGATTGGTTGTAATACGTATTTCAACATGAAGTGTTCTCAATGGACGATAACCGCTGCTGAGAAAAGGCAGTCAAACCAGCATAATAAAACGGGGATCGGACCACACACAGTGAAATAAAAAGATAAACTGGAGACGTGAGTTTTTTTACACGTGAACCCAAATTCTAACTATTTGGCTAGAATCAATTGCAGTGTGTTCTAGATAGAAGAACGATACTAAAATCAAAGTGTGAGAGATCGGTGCAAATTTGGAGCTGCATCTCAGTCATTTATGTCTGCGACTTACATAAAAGTGATGGCACCCTGACTGTTGATATGTACATTCAGATTCTGATCCATCATGTTCTTCTTTGAGGAACACGACTCACTCATCTTCCCGTAAGACAGTGATCCGAATCATACAGCAAATGTAGTGAAATGATATCTTGACAGTAAAGAAGCCTTTGGAACACTCACAATCTTGGTTTGCTTGGCCTGCACAAAGTCTCGATACGAATATTCTTTTGATGATCTTATGCAAAAATGGAAAAAGTCAAAATGTGGCCAAAACAATTTGGCTTAATTGTGGGAAACAAAACAGAATACTCGGAACAACATTCTACAATCGTACGAAGATAAATTATATGAAAACAAGATGTAATGCTATGTTCAAAGCAAAAGGCTCACATACAAAATACTAGTGCACTGTACAACTTGTTCGCTTTTCTTTTGTATTTTCTGTGATAAAGTTTGTCCAATTAACACCTTCACCATCTAGTTGCTATTACTCATTGTTTGTTACTCCTTTATTTGTATTTCCATGAATATTTCCTTTCTATGCTTTCTTGACCCGCGAAAACCTATGATGAGGTACGAAAAAATTAATTTCCATTAACCCATAAAACTAATTTTAAAAGAAACCATAAAAATAGAAGTAAAAGGAATTGAAATAAAACAGGTTTCAAGCGTTGAATTCAAAGTGATCCCAGAGTTTATAAGTATACTAGATATACTTTTAGTAGTTTCAAGCAGGTTACTAGTTCATCCTTCATCCTGGAGTTTCCACACCATCCTCTAGCGGAAACGAGATTGAGGCTCCAAATACAGTGTGTTCAACAATACTCGTTATTAATTAGAAAAACTAAACAAACATGTAAAAATTACACGAAATTATTAGGTCGTCAAGAAATTAATGTCGCGTTTTGGAACACTTTCATTAACCCCCCCCCAAAAAAAACGTACATCACCGCCTAAATGTCACATTAGTGTAGCCTATATAATGTGTAATGTCTAATCCCTTATAGTGATGGCAACGATAAGACACACATTCGGCATGTAATGCTGTTTGAATACAAGGGAAACAACGCCCCTGTAGCCACAAAGAATATCAAATAAGTTTATGGAAATGTTTTGAACGTTCGTAAGTGTCGACGATGGTTCAGCAAATTTCATTCAGGTGACTTTAGCCTTAAAAACTGTGATGGTATAGGCCGACATGTTCAAATTGATGCTCTCAGTCTATCCCAAGATAATATACTCGTGAAATGGCCTTGAAATTGCGTGTCTCTCATGAAACAATACGTAAACATCTAAGGAATATGGGACAACTCCCTAAAGAAGGTGCTTGGGTGCCTCACGAACTCTCCGATGATCATCGTTTCCAACATGTGGAAGTTGCTTCGTCTCTTCTGGCGTGTAATGCGCTTGAACCATTTTTGGACAGAATTGTCACCGGTGATGAAAAATGGATTCTTTATGCTAATATTAAACGCCAAAAACAATGGCTCAGTCCTAGACAAAAACCCC